TGAACAGTCCTTCAAACATGAAATCGTATTATTGAGTATGCATTTCCAAGCAATATATAGACCCTGGAGATGCCCACTGTGTCCCAGTGGGGCCCAACACCATGCCCTCAAGGAGGATGGAGCAGCACAGAGGCGCCCCTGCTGCCTGACCTTTCTGCTAATGCACTGCACTGTTGGTATCTGTCCTCAACCTCAATCAGAACTTTTCCCACCCCTCTTGAGGTGCGGGAGATCAGGGATTCCCTGAAGCCCCACTAAGTGCCCGTAGTCCTCACAGCCACCCTACAGAGTGATGGCACCCCCAGTTTGGTGATGGAGAACACAGGCTGAGAGTGGGTAGCTACTCAGTGGTGATCAACATTCACTGAGTGTTGGGGCTGGGAGGTGAACCTAGCCCTGACTCAGAGTCTCAAGTGCTTTTCATGGTGGGGGGCAGGACCCTCGTAGTTAGTGCCCTATCAGGCAAAGGAAATGGTTTTCCAAAGGAATGCCCCTCACCATCTCTGGGTCAAGACAAGCCCAGCACACCAGCTGGACCTTGGGCATGGAACCTGCTGTAGTACGGTAGGTGTCTTTGAAAACAAGGCATTCCTGCCACCAATGATAACAATAGTAATAATATTTTCCAGAGTGTTCATATCTTGCCAGGCAAGATGCCAAGTCCTTTGGGACACCTTATCTGGAGTCCCTATAAGAATACTCCCCTGCCCCAGGCGGCTAAGTCCCCGTGTACAGAAGAGGATAAGCTAGGTGCCAGGGTTCTGAACAGGAAGGAGCTGAGAATCGCCAATTGTACACCCCAGAGCAGAACCTCAGAGTAGACTCCCCCCACTTGAGAGAAACTCGGCAAGCAAATAAAGCTCACCAGCACCAGTGCGGTGAAGGGAGGGTGGCCAGTCACAGCGGTGAAGAATACCTTCTCCTAGCAGCGGTGACTGCAGCCTCAGGATTGCCGCCCTGTAGCCCCTGCCCACAGCCCAGGCACCTGGGTTAAATGCAGAGTGCTTTACCCCAGACTTAGGCTGGCAGACCTCCCCCTGGAGGGTCCCTCCTCCTTGGGCCCCCAGGGAGAGCACCCGGCAGGTCTTTTTGTCCGCCAAGCCTTGGCTCCTCCTTCCAAGCCCCTTGGTGTCTAAGACCCTCTCTCCCGGCTGTGCACAGGGGTTGTCTGCGGTCCTGAGTTGGTCCTGTGGGGGACCATGCTGGCTGGGGTGCCCGCCGGGAACGGTGAGCGGGCCCCCTACAGTAAGGCGGCGGGAGGCCTCCAAACTGGGAAAGGCAGCGGCCAGAAAAAGCTGGCGTCTGGCTTTGTTCCCCGAGTGCCACACCGGCACGCTGCCTCCCAGGAAGGCCCTTCCCGGTGTGAGGAAAGGAATGTGCCTGGAAGAGCGGTAGGGCCGGGAGCACCGCAGCTGGGGGATTGGGAAAGCCACCCCAGGACTCAAAGGCTTTGGGTGAAACCCAGACAAGGCCCTGATGCCCCTTTCTGTCGCGTGGTGTGGGGGCACCCCACTTGGGCAGGCGAGCCCAAGGGCACCCTGGCGGGCTCCGCCCGGTCAGCAGAGCTGCTGGAGGCTCGGTGCCCGTGCAGGCCCCGCCGCGGAAGCCCCGCGAGCCTCAGCCGCCGCCGGGGTGGAGCCCCGCGTCCCTCCGCTCACAAAGGCTTCTGCTCGCGCACCGACGAGGCTGGGTCGCCAGACCTGGGAGCTGTATTACAAGCGATTAGACTCCATTTTGTGACAGATTTTTGGACTCTCCCACCGACCCTCCCCCCTTCCGGAGCCTCCTCCAGGAATTCGCCACCTCCTCAGGATAGAAAGCCTTTCCAGACAGCGACAGGCGGCAAGAAAGGAGAGTTACATAATTCTATCTGGTCAAGGAAAAAAATGTTGGTGGTGGGGGGATGTTGTCATTTTTGTCTTTTCTGAACCTTCTCCCGTGGAGGACGCGGAGAGGTGTTGGCGATCATGCGGAGGCCGGGTTCCTCCCCGTTCTAACCGGGTTTTTTTTTTTTTTGTTCAAAAAAGGCTGAAGCTGGTTTTTGTTTGTTTTGTTTTATTATTAGAAGGAGCCCCCCAAAAACACTCAGGGAGAAAAAGGAGACTTTTCGAGTTACGAGTGAAAATGCCCAAACTGCGCAGCCGCAATGTGCTTTGCTCAACTAGGCCGGATGAGAGGATTTTATCAAATGCTACTAAATGTGCCCAAACGTCCATTAATCACCCCCATGGTGCGTAAAATAACTTTGCGCGTCTGGGTGCCCGGGATCTTTGAGAACAAATCGAAAGGAGGAACACACACTTAACTAGAAATGGCAACCTCTTTCTTTCTAAGGACGAAAGAACTCTGCAGCTCCTCGCACCCAGGCGAGGACGAGGACGCAGTTTTTCAAAAGTTGGGGCGGCTTGGGGGAGTGTTAATTTCCCCCTACTGCTGACGCAAAGGCTCAACAAAATGAAGAAGGCACGTTTCTGAGCCCACTTGCCTGGATTCCCGTCTGAAAAGCATTTGCGCACAGATGAAATAAATATGCATCTGCGATTCTCAAAGAAAAAAAAAGAAATCGAGAATAAAAATATTTTTATTGTGTATAGAGCACTGCTTTCTTGTGAGCTCTCTCCTGCTTGGCTGCGCTTGCTCTCCCTGGTAAATGCTGTCTCCAGACTCGCTGGGGGATTTGCGCCCAAGATTGTCTTGATAACCCCCACGCAGCCACCCCGCCCCGCACAGCCTCGGCCTGCCAGGCCTAGTGCAGATCCCTAATTGGCATTATCGGAAGAAAGAGGAAGACGTAGGAGGGGACTATGAGCAAAGAGAATAATGCCAACCCCTCCCTCCCCCAGGCTTCAGCCTCACAGGACCCAGAACGGCACTGGGACCTGAGATTTCCTCCTGGACAAAATTCAATCCCAACACATGGGACTGCACTGAAGAAGCAGGCTCTTAGGGGACTTTTTTCTTTTCTTTCAAAAATAAATATACATTGGACAAAGCAGTTGCAAATGTTTTATGTTTAATTGTTTTGTAAAATGAGGGGGTTAGTCGGCTGGCTCCACTCTAAGGGAATATTCAGCTCAAATGTGACTCCGGTTCTGTGCCCACAGAACTAGGGAGCATGCTTGCTTTCTTTTGAAGAGAAGCCCTATCATAATTATAGGAATAAATACATACAAGAGGTTGGAAAGAGTCTTTCCAATATGTTAAAAAAAAATTTAAACCATGCAAATGTTTCAGAGGCCCATTTTTACCTTCCCAGCCTCCTGGCCCCACATGTTGAGTTGCTGAAGCCAGTGGCTGAACTGGGTGCAAGTGGCATTGCCAGAGCCAAGTTCAGGGTTAGGTAAGCAGAGCAAGGCCAGGGAACAGGGTGTGGGTGTGTTGGAGGCTGGGGCACCCTGTGGAGGTGGTCTCTGGGCCAGCCCAGAGCCCCCAACCACATCTACTTCATTTTATTTGTGCTACTCTATGCGCGACTTCGGGTGAAATTAGTGGTGGCCCTTCCCTCTCCCAGAACTAGAATCACATCAGTCCAGGGCACCATACAGCAAAGACCTGACCAATGGCCCTGGGCTTAAGTCTGAGTTGCTCCATACAAAGGAAGAGGCCTCAGTTGTATTTCTGTAGAATCTGCAAAAGAGCTGATTCTCTCTACCAACCCCAATTCCTACCCACAGAGCCCTCAGTGAACAGGAGCAAGGAGCCAAAAGCAGCTCCTGCCCATTCCCCAGAGCAGGGGACCCAGTCAGTGCCTTTATGGTAGGACCTGTTCCCTCTATAGGACTCTGGTGTGCAGTCCCACTATTTCCAGGCCTCAGTCAGGCAGTTAGGATGCTCCCCTCCCCATCAGGCTCTGGATTTTGGGACAATCCTTGGGCAGAGTAGGAAGTCTACACTCAGCACTAGGTACAGGCAGCCCAGCCTCTCCAAGAGGCTTGGGCACTCACAGCCCTGTCTGAGCACCTGAGCAACCTACCCACCCTGCAGCTCATGCAAGACGGCTTTCTGGGCACCCACTAAAAGTTCTCCCAGGAACCCACATCTCTCTGCAATACCATTCTGGGGGCCCCCACAGCTCTCATGATTCTTGCTCCTCACTTTCCCCTTTTCAATTGTACTGCCAGGCACAAAACCCAGTAGGTCAAAAGAAAAGGCCTGTCTATACTCTCTGTCCCTGGCCTCTTGCCATATAAATCCAGTCACAGGTAAACACAAAGTCAGTAGATGGGGCTCAAGCCACTCTGGCTTAAATCTGAGGTTTGGACAATACCAGGACAGAGCCGGCCACCACTTTTCAACACACACTGTAAGAAAAATGACCATCAGGGAACTGCTGATTCGGTCAGTTCCTCACCCTAACTGGACTGCAGCTTGCTACCTCTTGAGATCTTCTTCCTAGACTACTTCTAGGAAGTAGGGATGGGGAGAAGCAAAACTCCCGCATGGAACGGTTTGCAGAAGATGGACACCATTTCTCTCCATCAGGGACAAAAAGTACAACAGGAGCCTAGCAGGACCCATACGGGGACTGCTAAGGCAGCTCAGTGGCCAGTACACCACATTCCTGCTCCAGAAATCCCAAATCCCCACACACGGGCTGGGTAGCACACCAACAGGCTTGGCTCCAAAAGCACTGCCTTCCTTTGAAATGCAATTCCTGGTCCCCAATTCAGGCTTCAGGGGGACCAGGCCCCTTCCCTGGACTCGGGCATGAATGCGCCAGTCCGCCTAGGGCCTTGTCTTGTACCCCACCTCAGCGGCTCAGCACAGGTTTCCGGGACAAACTGATGACATCTAAGGGCCACCGCACCAGTTCGGGCCGGTGGGGATGGTCCACCACAGCCCCCGGACACGCAGCCTGCAGAGCCCTCGGAGCCCTCGCAGCTACTGGGCCCAGTGGAGCGCACAGCCAGGAGGGCGGTCGCGGGCCCTGCCCGGCAGGGGGCCGGCCAGGCTCGAGTGCCGGGCGGCGGCGGGGAAGGAGGAGGACGAGAGGCGCTTACTGTTGGTAGTCTTGTTTGCAGTACAGTTTCCGATCCCGGAAGTAGCAGCTGGTGGTGAGGGCTTGCTGACACGCCGCGCACTGCAAACACTCCTCGTGCCAGGACGACTCGTTGACTCGCATCAGGAAGCGGTCGGAGATGGGCCGCTGGCAGCCCTCGCAGACGGCGGGATGCGGGCAGTCGGAGCCTGCAGCGCACAGGGCGAGAGCCGGGCCGTCAGCGCAGCCCGGCCCAACCCCGGCGTCCCGGTCGCGCGGTGCCCACAGCCCTCCGCTTCAAGGGCGACGGCGACCCGGGAGCGCCGCTCGTTGCCTGCGGTCTCCCAGCCGCCGAGCCAGGGTTCTGGCAGCCCCAGCCTGTGAGTCCCAGTCCTTGGGCTCCGGCGCAAAGAGGCCGTGGGCCTCGAGCCTTGGCTCGGCGCTGCGCTCTCCTCTTTTCCGGAGATTCAGCGCTTGGTGTTAATATAAGCGAGAAGGAGCACGATGCAGGGTGCCCGGCTGCGACTGAGACAGGCGAGGTGAGGTTGGGGTGCACGCAGGCTGACACGCCCCACGGTGGCTTCGTGATCTTCTGTCCCCAATCTACCCCAAACCTGTGGTTTAGATGACCCACGGGACATTTTTCTTCTAGAAGCTCCCCCTCCTCGGGCGACCTGACACCTCTCCCAGGCTCGCCAAGGTGACTACTTGGGTCCTCCATCACCCGTGTCACCAGCTGCCTACCCTTGCCGGGAGTAGTAGCTCTAGAACCTAGGCCCAAGGAGGATGGTGGGTGGAGGCTGGAACTGCCCTGACCTGTCTCCTGAGTGATGTCCCTGCACACTTCTGTCCCTCGTGCTTGTTTCCCCTCTGGTATCACTCCGGGAGTCCTGTCCTTGTACCTCCTCCCTATGTCGGTACACCTATTTCCTTCATCTGTTGGCCAGGACGCCTGTGTGCACCGCGGACGACGCCCCTGCCCCCTGCCCATAACCACTCAGGCGCTATGACCCCGCACTCACCCAGCAGCACCCCCAGAGTGGCGGGCCCGGGGCGCAGGGCGTGCTCCTCCATTTTGATGCCGTCCAACATCTTGGCGCAGTCCGTCTGCCCGCGAGGAAAACACCTCTCCAGCGACTCGGGACCTGTTGCTATATCCATGGGACGCCGGGCG